ACGGTTCGAGGGTGCGCGCGCGTTCCAGGAGAGCGAGTGAACGAGGGGATCCGTCCCCTCGGGTGGCTGGAAGCGGACTGCTGGCTCCCCCCCTTGAGTCAGCGCCCCTCACACCCACTCCGGGATGGGGAGAGAGAGAGGGAGAGCGCTCGGAGTGGCCAGCGCAGGTGGGGAGGAAGGGAGGGAGGGGAGGAGTGCGGAGACAGGTGAGGGGAGAAACAGAGACAGAGAAAGAGGGGAGGAGAAGAGGTGGCGTCTGTGGGGCAAGGAATGGAGAGAGCTGCACACAAGAGGGTAGAAGGGAGGGAGAGGGAGAGGGAATCAGGTTAGGGTTGTGAAAAGAAAAGGAGGGACTAGCTGGTAAAGGGAGGGAAGAGGGGAAAGAGACTCAGGCAGGTATTAGAGAGGGGAAATAGGACAGCGGAGTGGTCGGAGTGGCTGGCGCGGTCAGAAAGCGACAGAAGGGAGCGGGAGTGAGTGAGTGAGAATGAAGTGTAAGTGTGTGTATGTGTGTGTGCATGAGAGAGAGAGAGAGAGAGAGAGAGAGAGAGAGAGAGAGAGAGAGAGAGAGAGAGAGAGAGAGAGAGAGAGAGAGAGAGAGACAGAGAGAGAAACAGCCAGCCCAAAAAAACGAAAAAAAACAATAACCATTTTGTTATATACGTCCACATCTAATAAAACAAGACACGCGCCGAAAACCCCGAGACGAGCCGACGAAGCGAAGCCCGCGCCACGGCCTGAATCCAGCCGCCCCGAGAAGGTCATTACCCTGACCTTGCAAGTGTCATGGAAGGCATCGGACGAAATGAATGAAAACCGCAACGAGGAATAACTCTCCCGTTCGGCCGACGATGAGGGACCTGATGTATGCTTCGCTGTGCTCTGCCGTGTTATGCGATGGAATGGAATGCTATGTTATGCTATGCCATGATATGCTATGCTGTATTATGTTATGTTCTACTCTGCTATGTCATGCGATACAGTAGAATGGAATTATATGCTATGCTATGCTATCCTATGCTATGTTATATTATGTTCCGTCCCGATAGAGTTACGGGACGCGATTTATGCTACATCATATATTTATATTCTATTCCATTATTTAAACAAACGACCGTCGCTTAGATAACAAGACACGTGACAAACAAACAAAAAGACAAACAATTAGCTCCATCCAGATAAGAACACAAAACTAAATAATCTGACATACGGACGGATGGGCTACCGAGTAATATGAAAAATGAACAATAAATAAAAAATCATAAACAAACAAACAAACAAACATCAAACAACCTCTCACAAAACGAATGCGAAATCTCACGGCCACGTGACATAATGCCAAGGCTAATAAGGGCAAACACGCTCCGTAATTTGCTAATGAAAATGTTGATATGAATACTTTTTTTTTCTTTTTTTGTTTTTCTTTTAGTTTTTTTTTCCTTATCCAAATGCATTTATTATTTTTCTCTTGCTTGCCTGACCCTGACATTCATTCTTACTGAACATGCACAAGACAATTTGATTGCGAATCGTGAGCTTGATCAAGAGAATGATGGTGAGGAAGAGGAGGAGGATGGGGGGGGAGGAGGAGGAGGAGGAGGAGGAGGAGGAGGAGGAAGAGGGGAGGAGGAGGAGGAGGAGGGGGAGGAGGAGGAGGAGGAGGAGGATAGGAAGAGGGGAGGAGGAGGAGGAGGAGGAGGAGGAGGAGGAGGAGGAGGGGGAGGAGGAGGGGGAGGAGGAGGAGGAAGAGGAGGGAGGGGGAGGGGTGATGTGGAGGAATTAGGGAGAAAGGTTGCGGGAATGAGAAGGAAAGAGGAAGAGGGAGAGTGATAGGGATAGGGAAAGGAAAAGGGAGAGGGGAGAGGGGAGAGGGAGAGGAGAGAAAAAAGAAAAAAGGAGATGTAAAAGGGAGATAAAAAATAAAAATAAAGCAAAGAGAGTAGGGGGATAACAAGAGGAAGAGGATGACAGTTAATGAAGGAAGGAAGGAAGGAAGGAAGGAAGGGAGGAAGGAAGAAATGGAGGACTGGAGGAGTGAGAGAAGGAAGGACAAAACGGGGATGTAGAGAGGAACAGTGTGATAGAGGAGGATAACGAGGTGGAGGAGGGGAAGAGGGCGATAAAAGGGGAGACAGATAAAGAAAGGAAAAAAGAGGGGGAAAATATAATAAGAAGTAAAAGAGAAGAATGAGAAGAGAGAAAGAGAGAGACCGAGGAGATCAGGAAAGAAAAAAAAAACGAAACAAAACGCACAGACGAAGCAGCAGAAGACAGCGAGATGGAAGAATGAAGATAAAGGAGGGGGGTGAAAGGGAGAGGAAGGAGAACGGGTGGGGTGGGGGGTCAGAAGGGGGGGGGGAGCAGACGGGAGGCCAGCGCTATGACTTCGCATTTTCACTTAAATAAATCTTCCCCTCCCCCCCCCCAAAAAAATGTATTCACCCCACTTTTAGCAATGAATTTGGAATTTTCGGACAGCGTGCCTAGCTACCTCACCCCC